GGGTCGTGAGGGAGCAAGCATCCGGGGTGTCAGGCCCGCGGTCCTCTGGGAGTGACACCTGAGAAGGTGTCGTCTTCTGTGTTCGTACATGTGATGGGAGACTGGGTCCTGGGTGGGGTGAGCGTGGCACAGGGCCTGAAACCCTCCTTTCACCGACTGTAGTCACAGCGCCGGGGCAGGAGACAGACTGGAGGGGCAGGAGGGGGTGGGCTTGACCCGCCCCCAGGAAGGGATCCAGGGGCACTCAGCCGTGCTTGTAAGACACGATGACCGGGAAGCAAGCTGACCGTGACTAGGCCGCCGGGTTAAGCCCGCTGGCTGTCCGCCCTGACGACTCATTTTGTCCCCTCTGCCCACTCAACAAGCTGGGAAACTGAGGCCCAGAGTGTCACTAACCCGCTCAAGTTCACACCAGCTGGCAGGTGTCAGAGCTAGGACTGGGTCTGTGGTTTTCTTACCCAGCCCTATGAACCCAAAAGAACTTTGGGGGCGGGAGCTTCACCCCACTCTCCTGGACAACTGTTGTGATGGTGTTTTTGTTTTTTAATTTCCTTCTTTAGTTAGTTTCTTTTTGTTGTTGTTCAAACTTAGGCTTTAAAGGGGCAGGTAGGATGACATAACCCCGAGGCCATCAGATGGAACAGGGGTCAGAGAAAGATCCCCAAGAGGGCAATGAAGGCCAAGCACCGTCCATCCTACGGAGCGGCGAAGTGTGGGGGCTGGGGCATGTGTCCTAGAGACTCAAGGCCTCATTCAAGTTGCAGGGCCATCACTCTCTGCCTCCGTTTCCTTTCCCTGAAATAGTGATGATGTAGAACAGGGGTCCTCAAACTTTTTAAACAGGGGGCCAGTTCACTGTCCCTCAGACTGTTGGAGGGCCGGACTATAGTTTAAAAAAAAAACTATGAACAAATTCCTACAGCTTTTGTCTTAACAAAGAGCGAAGAAAATATATGGATACAATTGAACGGAAAAGGCCACTGACATGGGAACCCAATGCAGCAAGGAGAGACAGCCCCCTGTGCTGGTCCAGGGAGGCTCCAGGGGTGTGGAGTGGGGTCCTGGGGGACAGTCTGGTGCAGCGGTGGGAATGGCTGGGACCTCAGGGAAAGTGAGGGTGGGGCACGCTCATAAGCAGAGAGAACGGGGCCACAAGAACCTGGTGACGGTGCCAGCAGAGGAACAGCCAAAAGCTGAGCTGGAGGCGGGGAGTTAGGTGGGGAGTGTCCTAGGGAGGCCGAGCGCAGTGTCTGCTGGGCGCTCAGGTCTCTGTAAATGACGTCACCCTGACAACAGCCCAGGAGGTATCGGCGTTTAGCAGAGGAGGGCACCGAGGTCAGAGACGTGGCTTAACTTGCCTAGTAACTGGGCAGGGATTTCAGGTCTCGGCCTGGCCAGTTCCAAAATGCCCAGGCCATCCTCTGGCTGGGACATGGACAGCCCAGCTTCAAGGAGCCTGGAACCAAACCAGCCCTGTCTTAGCATCATCTGTCATCCCAAGAGCTCACTGGGGTCACTGCCCCCCCGCCCCCTGCAGCTCTGGGTAGATCACCCAGATGAAAGGGCAGGATCCCACCCAGCTGGACCTCTGGGCTCTGGAAGCTTCCACCACAAGCTATAGGCCCAGAGCGGAGGCCCTCTGAGCAAGGAGGGCCCAGCAGGAGCCTCCTGGCCTCTGCACTGCAGTTAGGGCTCCAGGAAGAGGGATCCTGGCGGAACCTGGAGAACAGAACTCCAGGGGCTTGGGGCTGGGCGGTGGCTCCCAAGGGCACCCTGGACCCTCCCAGATCCCCCGTCTGAGCAGAGGGCAGGCTGCGTCCCCACACGCATCCTTCCAAGAGCAAAGGGTATCCCCTCTGGCCCACCCCGGGGTGCTGTGAGCTGCACTCCCCATCTCAGACCCCTCATTCCAGCTGGCTTTGCAAGGTCTGAGAGGGTCCTTCCCTAGGGTCGCTGCAGGTCCTCCAGCCGTCCCTGCCCTGGCCCCGGGGGGAGGGGCTGGAGGCTCCTTGCGGTGAGGGCCAACGCAGCAGCAAGTTTGTGCCACCCTGCGGGCAGCCTCGCACCTGCTGCGTCGCTGGGAGCAAAGCTGCGGTTGGGTAAAAGCGCGGTGGAGAGGATAACTAAGGGGGGCCAAAGCGGGGTTTCAGATCTACCCGGCAGCATGGAGATCGTAAGGACCGCAAGCCTGTCCCGGGGGCGGATGCTTCCCCGGCCGGCCAGCTTGGGGTAGCGGCGCGGCTCCCCCGTGCGCGCCTGCGTGCTTCAGGGTGGCAGAAGACCTCTGACCAAGCTCAACTGCTCCCCCTGTCCCGCCCGCGCATCCCGCTGAGCTCCCCAC